CCACTTCCCCCCATATCTCTCCCCCATTCTCTCCCATATCTTTTTCTCTTTGTCTTCTTCTCTCTTCTTCATTATTGCTTAATTTATTAATTCCTTGCTCTCAGTAAGTCACTCCTCCCATCAGTCTTCATCAGCTTGCCACTTTCTGTCACTTCCTTCTCTCTCATCCAGTCAAAATGCTCGCTGCAAAATGGTGTTGACAGTGTGCGGTGGTGGCTTCCAGCGCTGCACGATCACTCTCTCCTGCTGTCTTGCGGAGGATTAGCACTGTGTGTGTGTGTGTGTGTGTGTGTCTCACACTGTCCTGTTTCGTCTGTCCATGCGAGGTGAGGCATCATCAGGCTGTTTTCCATGTGTCAGGATTATTAGCCTCGACAAGGCAGAAGACAGGAATAGGGGCTTGGGTGTCACGGCGGAGGAGGTTCTCGTAATAGACATCACCTTATCTATTTTTGTCCTTTCTCCTCCACAATATGTGCAGTTATTGGTGTTCACCTTATCACTGCAATAACCTCAGGTTCACAGCCATACATTATTTCCTGTCATGTATTTCACTGTGGAGTCATGCAACCTTAACAGCACCAGTCTGTTGGTTAGCACATGTTAAGGGAGTGGGGGTAGAAGATTAGGTTATTTAAGGTTAGGAGGAAGGAAAAAGGGGAAAGTATGAGTAATTGTAGTCTTGTTTTCCGATCTTCTCACTTTTGTAAAGTGTGAACAGAGTTTCTGCCTGAAAGAGTGTTTTGTCAAAACATTTTTGCACAGAATAGTGGCTAGTTAGCTAGTAGTAGCCTAGCCTAAAACAAGTGAAAGTCAGGGAAGTTAGTGATTACATCTCAAACATGCACTCTCTTATTTTGTAAGGTGTCTTCACACAAACATTTGTTTTATTTGTAGCTGTAAACTCAATGCTAGTACTAGCTAGTTAGCTAGCAAGTTTCCCAGAGACCAAGAAGCTCTCATAATAAATCGTCTAAGGGAGCAGTATTAAAAAGGTTTTGTGCAGTGTTGATAGTTTTTTACTTCATAACAACTGTACTGGCTGAAACTGGAGGCTCACCACTCTGATTGACAGGTTTATGACATAGGCTACTATAGCATATAATTAAAATAGCTAAACTGGACCTTGCTGCTGTCTATGTGTGTTGGAGCCTTTTTAATGAAATTATCCAACAAATGATAAGGTCTGCAATTAAGTACACATTCATACCCAAATTTTGCACTAAAATCCCTAGTTTAGTCACTGTGTTTGTCCAAATATACTTCTGCTTTGGAAAAGCTAACATGGTGGCAGTCAAAATGCTAATGTTGGGGCTTATAAATGCCATTGACATCTGGCTGCGTCTATCTTCTGGCTGACATCTTCTGTATGTGTGTGGCATTGTTGGAGTTTGTGCATATTAGTGTTGTCTTCAGTGTAGTATTAGTTGTGGCTGCAAAATGCAGCAGCTAGCGTTTCAGTGACAGTCAAACTCTGAAACTGTCACTTCCAATAAGTGGACCAGTTGACATATTCAGTTTGACTACAGGACTCTGTTGAACTTCATGCAGTATGAAAAGAAGTACATGATATATATATATATTGTACTACATGTAAGTTTATTAAGAGAGCTATCCAAATCAAGTCACTGTGAATTTTCTGCTCATCCTCTCATGATGCTTTGAAATGGTTCTTGTCGAAGCCCAAATTGAAGCCCAGAATTAAACACTTGCCCCACCAGTGCCTTTGGAAAGCACAACAGTGTTTTAAAAGTATATTTTGGCTTTTTGTTTTAAAGCATAGCCTTCTATGATGTCAAACAAACACGTGAAAGTACAACCATTCTCAGTCAATCCTTTTACTAAAGTACACCATCATCCATATGTTTGCCCATGTGGCCACACAAGCTTTCTCAAAATGTGTGACAGCCCACACTTTATCTCACCACTTCTAATCTATTTGACTTCCCCGCCCATCTGTCCAACAGCAACATCTGTCACTTCAACATCTGTCACTTGAGCTCTCACGCTTGCGTTTGAGGTCTTCTTTTGTTATCATTTGAGTTCAGAGGTCAGATTGGTGTCATAGACAGAGCTGAAATAATTGAGGAATTTGAGATTTGAGCTGTCTCTAGCCGCTAATCTTGTAGTATTTAATCCAGTATTGTCAGGAATTATGGATTACTTCCTGCGAGCAGAGATGATCCTGTTAAACGGGCATTGGGTGGAGGAACAGAGGGTGTGGGACGAGAGGGTGGGCGCAGGCGTAGGATGCTGGAGGGCAGTATGAAAGAAGAGCGTTTACTAAATCCAGCATTAGTCAGAAAACTCTTGTGAGATAAAAGACAAAATGTAAATACCACCATTATTAATTCAGTCTTAAAGTCTTAGGACTCTTAAGTAGCTTGACAAACTGGAACATATGCATAGTTTCCTTTCTTGCTGAGAGTAATTTGTAAAGATAGACAACACTTTTATGTTTGTAGAGTAAAGTCAGATTCAGGGTCTTGGTCTGGATTCACGCCTAAGACAGGGATTATGTGAATTTAAACAATACAGAGGCTGCACTTTGACACCGTCCTACAAAAAAGTCAGCATAGATTATGCTTAGGTTGAATTCGTCGCACGAACAGGAAAGAGAGCCACAGCAAACATCACCACAAAGAGAAACAAGTGAAAAAACAAACCAACCCCAAAGCCCATCAAAGATTTAAAAAAGCACAGACGAGAAATACAAACAGTGGCTGCTGTGGGCAGTTATAAATGTTTTCAACACTCTACTGCAAAGAAGTTTTTTGTCTATCATGATTTCTAGATTCTCTGTGGCTAAGCTAGTAGACCACCAACAGCACAAACATCAACACAAGCAGCCGTTGGGCCTGCAAAGCTCCATGTAGCACCTACAGACTATCAAGACACAATAGCTTTGTATTAACAATGAAAACTAGTGGAAACACTAACATGTGTGCCCACATATAACAAAAACTCCTTACCACTCTCTCTTAAGGTTTCGAATGAATACGCCTACAAATTAGTTGATTTCATTCGTATTGGTAGTTCTCAGTCATATTCTGCAAAGTCATTTCCAGAACAGGAAAAAGATACAGTTTGGGTTTTGAAATCAAAATCAACTCCAAAGCATCAGCAAACTATTGCTTATTTTTCCAATAACGTTCATATTCAATAAACTTAGTCTCGCTCCATATATTGCTCATGGTCGTCCATGTAAACCAACAAGACTAAAAAAAAC